TGTATGGTTCCATGCACAGGTTCAGTTCGATTTACACAGCTTTGATCAAAACTTTCTCAGTTTCGAGAATAGTTTATTCTAAACCATAAGAAAAGATTTAATTAGAAGTTAAATTTTTCGCTATTTCTCTTTCACTTTTTACATTCAGTTCATTTAATTTGCCGTAAAGTAAGCCTTAGAAATTAAAAGGACGTTCATGGTGGGCAAATAAGACGCAAAATATTACGAGGTAGGAAATACTTTTGCATTTTTTATTCGTTTGAGCTCAAACTTTGCAGGATGGTAGAACTTTGTATTCCAAAAAATCCTATGTTTTTTGTTTTTCGATTTTAACGTCTTTTGGCGATCCCTTCGGGATTTTCTGTCTTTACGTCATCCTAACCATTTCGTACTTGCGGGCTCAAACAATAGAAACATCATCATTACCTTCTTCGCAGCCCCTGTTCAAGCAAATCGAGATTTTTTCAGGCATACTGACTGCATGTTTCAACTGTAAGTACTTTCCTTTATTTTCGCGCGAGTTACTAGAGTGCCCCCTCGGGATTTCACCTTCTGGGCGAAGTCCCCGCGGGGGCAAAAATGCCTTCAAACGTTTTATTTGTCGGCAAGAATTGTTATATGTCGTAGTAGCCTGCGTAGCAGGCGTTTAAGGGGGGAGGGGGTAAGAAAGAAAAGAAGGAGGTAGGAAAAAAAAAAGAGAGGGGATTGAGGAGCGAGGGAAGGGAACGCCTGCTATAATAACTCCGTCTTGTTCACCTTCGCGGACGTTGGCATCCGCAAATTCTGATTGGATAATCAGGCAATAGAACAAGCTTGTTCAGCAAACACAACTTCCGATTTCAGTTAGCCTGCGTCGTGTTGTAATCAGAAGAACGGGAACGTCATTTGACGACGGGAAAACGCCCGGAAAGGACTAAACTCGACTTCCGGTGCTCAATTTGCCACTCTGCCATTGGTCAAGCCAGTTGTTTGATTTGCGTGCGCCGTCGTCAACTGACGCTCCCGTTCCGTTGCTAAATCCAGCCTATTTTCTGAACGATGACTTCTTCCGTGGGATTCAAAATCAAGACCGGTGCCTTAAGCTGAGTGCTTGGCTTTCCCGAAATATCTTCTATATTACAATAATTCAACAAAATATCGGGATCTTGTACAGTGAGTGTAAGTGTTACTTGCACAGGCGTCTGTGTATAAAATGCTTCAATACCAGCAATTCCAAATTCTGCGTCCGACGAGTCACTCACTGTCGAACTTTCTGCAAACAAGGTCTTCCTTCTGGCATGATAGTGATGGGAAGCTGTATTTTGCTTCAATCTTCCTCAGACTCTCAATGTAAATTTTCCTCGACATTAGCGTTTCTTACAGCTTTCTCGATCAAACTGTACAGTTCAGCTACTTTTCTAATTTTGCGACCAGAAGGTCTGTAGACCCGTTCTTATAAGTTTTCATTTCTGGTTAATCGCGACCAAATAAAGCCAAAACAACGAGCTTAAATCAGCCCTGCACTTTCAACTCTTCCCGTCGGTGAAAACAAATTTTCAAATGAGGCTCGTCCTCCCCCAGAAGTAACGTTAACGCCACAGAATCTAAAACTGCTGTTTTTTGGAACGTTTACATTGGGTTTCCGTCCCTTTTACAAATTTTTCTGGGAGTCGCGGCGCCGACATTCTGTTACGAAGATTTTCTCATGTTCTACAGCTACGAAACCGCCGTTGGCGATACATTTCCGCGTGACGTCAGTCATGCAGAAAAGGGCACGCCTAATTGACAGTGAAGTGACAGCTGGGATAATTGAAATAAGGGGCGAAATGCAGAAGACGCGGGCTTTTGTGGCAGGCGTTTCCCTTCCTCTTTTTCTTACACTTCAGCCACCCCCCCCCCCCCCCCC